CCGCTAAGCGTTCGTTCTCATATCGCTCTCTTAACCTTGACCAGGCATCTGCATAGTTAAGCCCGGAGATTTCTATTGAGGCTATAGTCTCGGCTGCCTCTCCCTTTAATGCTGATTTTAAATAGTGGAACTTTTGAATGTCTCCCAACGAATTATTAGAATGTATTAATGAATTAAATATATCGAAAAAGGGATGCCAATCTTCATACGCTCCCGAAAAAGACGGTAAATCGATTTTTGGCAATCTAACTAGATTTTCACGAGTTCCTACTCGAGAAGAATTAACTATTTCCGATGCCTGCTCAATATTACTAGTAACGGAAGCTGGTCTTACTCGCCGTTCCATTGTTCTACTTGCTATTAATTTTAAATGCATATATTTTTCTTCCAAAGTAGCTATTTCTAAATCGACTTGTTCATCTGTGCTTTCACTATCGTATACCGCTATATTTATTTGGATCTCTAATAAAGATTGCCACAGTTCCTCTAGTCTCTCTACCTTCAGCTTTAACTCATCGAGATCGACTGTATTACTATCCATATCTTTCATAAACTTTTCAATGCGAGTAATACTAGCCTTTGCTACTCTCCTGCTAGTCTTAAGTTTAGTCAATTCTTCCTTTAACGACATTTTTGATTATTGAAATAGTGACTAAATGAGAATGCTCTCGCCTAACCTTAAATATAATTGCGCTTATCCTTAATGGATATCTTTGGTTATTGTCTTCTCTGGTGGCACTATAACCTCGTCCGTGTGGAATCGCTCGCCCCTCGTGCTCGCTGATCCTTGCAAAAAATGGCTCGTTCGCCTTGTAATATGATGTGGAGTGCCTTTGAATATAGGTACTGGTTGTGTAGACTCGAAGAAAACGGCGTGGTTGTTGCTTTTCCTAGCCGCTCTCCGTCCTATCCACCCTTGTGAATTTACTCTATCTTTTTCTCCCAGCTCGACTCACCGGGATCTGGCTCGAAGGACCATGTTTGTTTGTATAGTTGACTGTCGTTAAGGTTTTGGAAATAATCTTTCTTCGTGATCGTAGG